CGGTGCCTGAGAGGGAAGGAGAGGGGGAGGAGCCTTGGCCTTGTTTTGATCCAGACTTGTTTTTTCAAACATTTTTTTTTATTGAGTTATAGTCATTTTACAGTGTTGTGTCAAATTCCAGATTGGGACTTGTTCCCTGAGCGCACTGCTAACTCCCCCAATTTAGCCAAGGTCCGCCTGGGGGCGGCACCAGGTCAGCCCGACCCCGGGGGCCCTCGGCATTTAAGAGCTCAGACCTTGACTCCGGAGACCCCCTGGGTGGGAGGCAGAAATAGACCTTATTCCCTCCTGCCCGTGCAGGCTTCTGGCAAAGGCATTGCCGAGTTGCTGACCGGCTGGGGGCGGAATCCAGAAGAGGGGGCCTCCAGAAGAGGGGGCCGTGCTTCTGGCCCCGCCTTCACCTCCGGGTCAGAGGATAAATTCCCAGCCCAGTTTCTCCGAGGCCTCTCCACTGAGACCGCCTTCAGCAGCACCATGCCTATGATCCTGGGTTACTGGGACATCCGCGGGGTGAGCAGGGGTCCACCAGGGCGGATGGGATGGAGGCGGGAGGGGAAATGCTGCGCAGCTGGGGGCTGTTTCGCCAGAATCTGATTCTCCAGGGCTTGCTGCAGCCGAGCCCCTTCCCTCTGCACCTCCTTTTCAGGTGGGCCGCTAGAGGGCTGGTGCGCTGAGGGTGAGCGTGTTGGGGTGTGGGAGGTGCCCTGGAGCAGAGAAAGACTCGCTGTCAATACCCTCACGTGTGACCTGTGTCACCGCCTTCTCTCCCAGCTGGCTCACGCCATCCGCCTGCTCCTGGAGTACACGGGCTCAGACTATGAGGAGAAGCGGTACACGATGGGGGACGGTAATGGCATCCTCTTCATGTTCTAATTTCTGCCTGATTTTTTTTTCATACTGATTTGGCACCAAGCAACATCGTGTTTGCCTTTGCTGCCCTCCAGCAGCTGGAGCAGGGGCCTGCCCCTTCTGAATCCTTTTGAGGGTGCAGCTGGCCTCCAAGGCAGGACGTGAGAGCCAAAGACTAGGACCCTGTTTCAGCAGTTGGCATTAGTTCCCCTTAGGTCTTGCTGAAACTGTTCCTAAACATTACTCAAGTAGCTTAAAAAAGCCTTCTCTGTATGCTTTTCCTTCTAAGCTGGTATGGGAGACTAAGTGGTTCAGATTCCAGACTGACCTGTTCAGTGGGTTTTACCTCTAACTCCTTGGTAGGTCTCCCAGGACTGAGGGTTGGATACTGGGCAGGTTCGGTTCACTGCATCTTCTTTACCACAGCTCCTGACTATGACAGAAGCCATTGGCTGAACGAAAAATTCAAGCTGGGCCTGGACTTCCCCAATGTAGGTGCAGGGGATGCGGGTGCTGTGGGGGAAAGTGGACGGTGTCTCTCTTCCATCTCCTTTCCCAGCTTAGAGTTTTCAGGATCAGGTGCCTTCTGGTCATCTTCTCAGCACCCTGGTTCTCTCACTGTCTTAGAGTGATGTTCTATGTCCCAGCTCATCTGGTCCTTGTACAGTATATTATTTAGTGCCTTCCATGGGCCAGGCTCTGTGAGTGCCAGATTTCACCTCTGCCGTTGCTCAAGAGACGGGGTGCAGGGGAGCCTGGTGGCCCAAGCAACCTTCCCTGTTGTTCTTGCAGCTGCCCTACCTAATTGATGGGGCTCACAGGCTCACGCAGAGCAACGCCATCCTTCGCTACATTGCTCGCAAGCACAACATGTGTGAGTAGTGCTGTGGATGGGGACAGGGAACAGATGGTCATGCCTCTGGTCTTGGCTGGGGGTGGCATACTGAGGGAGAGTCTTTTGTGTGGACACAGGTGGGGAGACAGAGGAGGAGAAGATTCGAGTGGACGTTTTCGAGAACCAGGCTATGGACGTGCGCTTCCAAATGGTCAGGGTGTGCTACAGCCCTGATTTTGTGAGTCCCCTCCCACTGGGCTGGGCTGGGCTGGACAGAGTCCCATCTACACTGGTCCTTTTGCCATTTGAACTGCTTTGAGCTACTGATTCACCAAGCTGGCCCTTATAAAGTCCCTAGAGTGACCCTCATAACCACTCCCTGTGCATGAAAGGGAAATTCTGTTAGTTCCCATCAACTTTAGGGTATAGCCCAGACTCCCCAGGGTGGAAATGCAATTCCTAGACAGGCTCTTTACCTCCTTATCCCAGCGCCTCCTCCTCGGCGTCTCAGGCATGAACACATTTATCCAGTAGGCAGCACAGGTCAGACGTTGTTCCCCTCCCTCCTTCCTTACATCCTCTCAAAGTGTCTTCAGCTGTCCAGAAACTGCCCTTGCGTCCCCACTATTTCTGTCAGCTATTTTATAGAGCTTTCAGCTTCCTTCCTGGGTCATTTTATTGTAGCATCTGTCTGAGATCTGAGTCCCGAGCTCTGCCAGGTCTCCCAGCACTGCTGCTCTGACCCATGCGTGGTGTTTGGAGATGTGTGGTGACAGGTTCAGGGACAATGCGGCTTTGCCCTTTGCCTTCCCATCATCTGTCACAGATGGGCGGTAGGAGTCTAGTGAGCACAGGTGGGTTAAATTGGAGCCTGGGCACCAACCCAGGTGCTGTCAGGGGACATGGCTGCTCACCTGGCATCTGGGATCTGACACGGCCCTGGGAGTCCTGCTCTCTGCCCAGGGAGTCTGTGTCTGAGTCTGGTGACTGCTGTTTTGTGCCTCAGGAGAAACTGAAGTCTGGTTTCTTGGAGGAGATCCCTGGAATAATGAAGCTCTTCTCAGAGTTTCTGGGGAAGAGGTCTTGGTTTGCAGGAGACAAGGTAAGGGGGTCGGCTTTGAGGGACAGGGAGTTGTCATTTTTTCCAGGTTCAGAGTTTGGTGCCCATTCCTCCTTTGCCTTCCTGCAGCTCACCTTTGTGGATTTCTTGGCTTATGACGTCCTTGATGTGTACCGCATATTTGAGCCCAAGTGCCTGGATGAATTCCTAAACCTGAAAGACTTCATGAGCCGCTTTGAGGTGATTCCCCTGATTCTCCTACTAGTTATACGTCTTTTGTCTTATCCCTGATGCCTCCCCAGTCCTGGAGCTAAAACGTAGAATACCTTGCATCTATTAAGGAATTGGTTCATACCAAGGTCTCTGCTAGGCATCTTACATATAGTGTGTCTAATATAATATTGACAACATTTTTACAGGGTAGAACAATTATCACCTCCTTTTACAGATCTGGAATTAGGATGAAAGGGGAGGTAATTTCTGAAAGTCATGGAGCCAGTAGAGGCTGTCCTGTGCTCCCCGTCAGAGCATCTGGTTCTACGGGTGGCAGGCAGTGGCTTTCTTTTTCCTTTACTGAAAAGAAAAGGCTTATGTTCTTTTGTTGTCTGAGTTCCACAGCTCTGGATCGTTTGGATGAAGCAAAATCTTTAGGAGTTTGTATGTAGTTGGAGTTAGTAGTATTGAGTTGAGACACAGTGGGATTGATATTAAGCACCAAAGACACAGAGAATATTTTGTCTTGATCCCTGAGGGCTCTGCAGGATTGGGATCCTGTCCAGGGTTATAGTGTGATTCCCTGGACAGAGGTTAACGCTGGGATTTGAGTACATATGTAGGTGCTCTGTGAAAAGATTTTATCTTTTTTTAACATTTTTTATTGATACTCAATCATTTTATAATTTTGTGTTAAATTCCAGTGTAAAGCACAATTTTTCAGTTATACATGAACATATTCATTGTCACATTTTTTTCTCTGTGAGCTACCATAAGATCTTGTGTATATTTCCCTGTGCTATACAATATAATCTTGTTTATCTATTCTACGATTTTGAAATCCCGTCTATCTCTTCCCACCCTCCGCCCCCTTGGCAACCACAACTTTGTATTCTATGTCTGAGTCTATTTCTGTTTTGTATTTATGCTTTGTTTGTTTGTTTGTTTTTTTAGATTCCACATATGAGCGATCTCATATGGTATTTTTCTTTCTCTTTCTGGCTTTCTTCACTTAGAATGACATTTTCCAGGAGCATCCATGTTGCTGCAAATGGCATTATGTTGTTGATTTCTATGGCTGAGTAGTATTCCATTGTATAAATACACCACATCTTCTTTATCCAGTCATCTGTTGATGGACATTTAGGCTGTTTCCATGTCTTGGCTATTGTAAAAGTGCTGCTATGAACATTGGGTTGCAGGTGTCATTTTGAAGTAGGGTTCCTTCTGGATATATGCCCAGGAGCTGGATGACTGGGTCATATGGTAAGTCTATTCCTAGTCTTTTGAGGAATCTCCATACTGTTTTTCCACAGTGGCTGCACCAAACTGCATTCCCACCAGCAGTGCAGGAGGGTTTCCCTTTCTCCACAGCCTCTCCAGCATTTGTCATTTGTGGATTTTTGAATGATGGCCATTCTGACTGGTGTGAGTTAATACCTCATTGTAGTTTTGATTTGCATTTCTCTGATAATTAGTGATACTGAGCATTTTTTCATGTGCCTATTGATCATTTGTATGTCTTCCTTGGAGAATTGCTTGCTTAGGTCTTTTGCCCATTTTTGGATTGGATCGTTTGTTTGTTTCCTATTAAGTTGTATGAGCTGCTTATATCTTCTGGAGATCAAGCCTTTGTCGGTTTCATTTGCAAAAATTTTCTCCCATTCCGTAGGTTGTCTTTTTGTTTTACTTATGGTTTCCTTTGCTGTGC